TTTTAATATTGTAGTATGACTATTAAAATTTTGTCAATATTGTTTAATTAAGATAATTAATATAGATTCTATTTTAAAAATATGATAATTTATAATTATTTTAAGAAAAATATTCCAAGAAAATTTTAATATATTTGACTAAAGTTTTTAAAGATAATACTGACAGATAAGTTATAAATCTTTTTATCTTTTACTATATTATAAAAATTGATAGAAAAATATAATAATAATGTATTTATGTGTGAAAATATGAGTTGATGTTTTTCTGAATATTATAAAAGATTAATATTATATCGAAAAATTTTAGACAATAATCAATAATACTATTTCAATCAGGATAACCGATTTCTATTTCGATTTAATATTAATAAATAATATATGATTAAATCTTAAAATTGACAACTGATAATTTTGTTGTTTTATTTTATCTTGATGATAGATGTATTTTATAATAAATAATGAAAGATAATCATTTCAATATGGAATATTGTAATCATAATATTTTTCAATAATATATATATATATATATGATTGAATTTCTCTTGTTGTTTAATAATTACTAACATCAATAATATTGTTTCAAATTAATTTATTTATAATTATACTTTTTTTTGTTGATTTTAAATAATAAATTCAAGACTTTTTTTCTTCATAACAAGAGATTCTTATCTAAATCTAATTTAGGTGGAATTAAATATCTTCTTCTATCAACTATTTCAATATATTTGAATCAATCAATTTTTTATCTTTCGATTCTATAATGAGATCATTTTATTTAACTAATATTTTCATATTTTGTTTTTTAAATTATTCTAATTATTCAAGTCATTTTTCATCTTGTACAGTTTATTCTATAATCTACACAAATATATTAAGGAAATATTCATATAATTAATACATATTTTGACCAAAATTCTTCAGTATAATATCAGAAATAAATATAATATTAAAATGATTTTGTGAATAAAAAAAGAAAAATTAAATAAGAACTATTATCTACATGAAGTTTTTCTATTTGATATAAATCAGCATTGTAATGGGGGATCGATCGATAAGCTATCGGGGATGTAAGAGTCTCTCTCCCTTTTCCCTTTAGCCCACACTGCCCTTCCCCTCTCCCTCCCATATTGGATTTTTTCGGCTATCACTGATTCATTTTCATAACAATAAAATTAATCCCATACCTGTTCTCAAAATAGAATTCATAAAAACAAAAAAACAATGATTTCACTTTTCTGATGTTTATCTTGTGACTCAAAAAAAAAAGATTAGTAATATATAATTTCAAATAATGCATTTTACTAATAAATAAGATATTTTTTCGTTTTCTTTACCTTTGTATGTGACAATATTAGTCAGTGAAGCGTAGTTATTTCTAAATGAATAATAAAAATAGTCTCTTTATATATTTGACTTTTCCCTATTAACTTCGATTTAATAAAGAGTAAAGTACTTATATGAGAGATAAGTTAATTTTTTTGTCAAAATAAATATGTGTAATTTCGGTAAGTAGTTTGGTTGTAATATATTTTAATAATTTCATTTTTGTTTTTATTTAGAATTGAGAAGAAAAACCGATCTAAATTTAATTATAGAATTTGATCGTTATAAACAAGAAAATGTTGAATTAATGAATAGATTTAATGAACTTCATGAACAAATAGAAAAACAAGGAATAAGTTCATATGAAGATCTTCAACGAGTTAATCAACATTTAGATAAAACTTTAGTAAAACTTGCATCGAATACTGAACCATTTAGATTAGGTGGACGTGCTTTTGGAATTTTTGGTTTAACATCAGCAGGAAAAAGTTCAATAATTAATAAATTACTTGGATATGATCCAACTAAAATAGATAATCATGAAACAACGAAAAAAATTCAGATTTATGAAGGACAAAGTTATCGTCTTTTTGATATTCCTGATATAAATGATGATATATCTTATTTTACAATGGATTATATTGCTTTTTTGAAAGGATTAACAAAAAGATTAGTATTAATAACAACAACAATAACAGAAATGATAAAATGTTTTCGTTTTCTTGATGCAATTAATCTTCGATATGATATTATTATTAATAAATTTGATTTAATACCTATTTCAAGAAGACAAGAGTTTAAAAAAATAATAAATCAACAAATTCGTGAATTGAATCTTCAAGGTGTTGATCATGTTTGGTATATTAGTGTACTTAATCCAAATCAATGTCCTGATTGGTCAACAATGATTAATTCATTAAATTATCATCCTGAAAATGTTTTTAATGATTATGATTTTTTTGATAATGATTTTTATGAATAAATCAATAAATATCCTAGTTGTGTCTGTTAGGACTAGTGAT